GCCCAGATTCTACTTTGCATGTTGAGCCCCAGCTGTGAGCCATACTCATGTGCCCTTTGTGTCTCAGGACACCATGAGGGAGCAAAATGTGTTCAGGTCTGTCTGTGTCTGAGTAAAGGCTGAATATGAAAGGCCACCATAACGTTAAAATTACGTGAGAAATGACTGAAACTGAGAGTAGTATGGCTCATTTATTTTTCTTCTATGATTTATATTTTTGCAAAACTGATGAATACACTTTATCAGGATGATTCATGAAAAAGCTTACATTTTTAGGCCCTACATAGAATGACTTTTTTCAACCATTTAGACTACCGTAAGTAAAAAGAAGAGAACTAATATTTGAGTGCCTTGTAGACACTTTACATGACATCTCACCTAACAAAAATACAAAATAATTTTTAATGTTTTAAAGCATAAATTTACAATTGGAAAAATAATGCATTTATTTAAAAAATAAAAATAAAAACCTAGCTACCCGTCAGTATAGTCAGTTGGCAAGCTGATTTATGGATGGTGGTGGTGTTTGCTGGATCTGTTTTGAAGTCACTCGTACTCAAAGCTGCCACCAATCTGGGGGGCACTGTCTGTACAGTGCCCTGTGGCATTTCACAGACGTGCTTAGTATTCAGCGTGAAGTGTTGGGCTGGAGGTGTCTCTCCAAGCACCCCTCCACCAACCATATACATTTGAATATGAGCCAGTGGGTTTAGGATGCCATGAAGAGGGAAGAGATTTACTCAGCTGCAGCCCCCTGTCCCTGTCATCTTAAGAGTATGCCTGGTTTCCATGTGTCCTTGCATCCCCATGTTTCTGTAGTTAAATGTTAAAAGAGTGTGGCTGTGGTTTTTCCTGCACAGTTGTTACTTTGAAACAAGAAAATAATCATGTTCTGATATTATATAGCAATGTTGTTGCAGTATTAAACAGTAGGCAACTATTGGTACGTGAGAGATACATTGTGTCAGAACCTTCATTTTAAATTCCAGAAATACTACTAATGTGACATAAAGAAAGAGGTATGTGGTCATCTATATTTACCTTTAAAAGTTAAGATAGTTTATATAAATTGAAAAATAAGGGAAATCCTAAAATTTTAACAAAGATGTAATTGTATCCAAATGCAATTTAAATTTACAGATTTTTATAAGTATGGGAAAAGCTAAGCAGGTAACCTGACATTGCAGTGCTAGTCTCATGTCGGAGTCTTTCAGAAGACAGGTGTATTGTAAGGAGTTTTTCTTTCATGCGTCCATTTATGGGTATTATGGAGGTGCTATGGAGGTCAGCTGGGGAGGGGAGCTGGCTGCTCTGCAGAGCTCCTCCCATTAACTGTTTATTTCACTTGATAACGTGTGCGTTGGAGTCAGATCCAGGTAAGTGGATTGGCTCACATCTGTGGCATTTCAGCTGCGAGTGGTTGTGAGAGAGTTAATGCCAGCGTTCCTTGGCCCTGCAGCTGGCTCACTGCCCACCCCCAGGGAAGGCCCTTTGTCATAAATGCTGGTTTGGATCCAGAGAGACTGCCATGTGGGGAACCTAGTTGGGGCAAATTTGTTAGAATTAGTATTTACAAACTAGTTTCTAGCAATCCCAAACATGGCCAGTTTTTACTGTTCATCTCCGTCCTTTCTGTTTGCTCCTTCATGCCCGTCTTCCCCCCACCCCAGAAATGCATATAGTTTCCCACCTTGAGCACACTGATGGCAGGGTCCCTTCTCTCTTTGTCAGTTATCCTACGTCTTTCACATGCCTGGTTTTTCCCATTAGAGAGGTGATCTCTTACTCCCATCTTATTTGGAACACTAAGGGACACACATTGATGCAAGCATGCATTCCCATGGCAACAAGAGATTGGCTGTAGGGAATCTGGAAAAGTTTTAGTCTCAGCTAAAATACAAGGAATCAGGCTGCTTTGGAAGAGTTTGGAGACTAAAAGCTCTCAAAGTTTGATTTAAAGCAGTTTTAGCAAGGAATGGGGGATGAGGGAAGCAGAGCTGGTTGGATTGACTAGTCCTGACTTTGAGCCAAACTGGGAAAGGGCAGTACTATCACAGTCTCTGTATGCATTTAATCCTTTTCCTCTAAATATAACGTTGAATCAGAATCTCTGGGGCTGAAATTATTTATACACACACACACACACACACACACATGCACACACACATGTGGGCGAGATTCTTATGTGTAGTCAGGTTAGAACTGTGGAGGATCACGGATACAGTCAACTGATATAGTAATGCTTATTAGTAACCACAAATAATTATTTGTCTTCATTGATGGACAGAAATGCTCAGGGCAGGGATCCCTACTCTCAAAGTTTCAGAATCTTTGTATTAACAATTTAAAAATCTTTATTAAAAAATAATCTAAGTTGTCAATACGGTGAAAGACTAGTACACTATAACCAAGTGGGGCAAATTCCACAGTGAAAAGATGGTTAAGTATTGGGAAATTTATGACTGTTTCATTGTATTATGAAATCTCAACATGTCAGACCCGGTACCCCTCCTTTAAAAGAAATATTTTATACTCTCTTTGGTAATCCAGAAATGAAATGCATAGATAATATAGTCTTTCTATACACATAGTTTAAAATAGCATGTTAATGATGTCCTAATATTTTATGTTTATATATGTTTGTGTGTGTCTCCAACCTTCACTGTTTGCTCTATTATATGACTTTTAGGGACTTGAAAAGAGATTTTCAGAGGATACTTTAAAGGGGCTACCACAAATCAGTTCAGAAAGATTATTTGCAAATGATGTTGGAACAGTTTGTTTGCTACAGTATCTGGGTAAAACATTTGTTTGGTTCTTCACCACACATCCTACGCTAAAAGAAATTGTAGATGGCTAAAAATTAGATACAAATATATTTCATTAAAGTTTAAAGAAAAAAATAACATTTCTGGAATGGGGAGATATTAAATCTTTAAAAAGAGTGGAGGAAATCACAGGAGAACTCGGCCAGTGCATGTAATTGATACTGAAAACTTAAATACATCCAAATAAATTATCAAAAGCAGACCTTACACCCGAAAAAAAAAAACAAGAGGAAACCCTTGATTCAAGAATGTTACCTTGCTGGGGATAATCGCATGTGTATGGGTAGCATTGCGTGCATTCCCAAATAGTCGCCATGTTTTGATCTTGAAGGGGAAAATATTTTTTACATGACAGAAATGAACTAAAAAAATTCACCCCTCTCTCAACTGCTGTAGTCTCCTTCTGACAAGGCAGTGTTTGAGGCCCATGCCAATATCAGGGGTCCTGTCATTCTTGACAATAAATTTAGTAGTCAAGGAAAATAGTCATTTTGCAGGGGGAACCCTCAAATTAGCTTGAATTATCAAAAGTAATTTATCCCCGTTGAACGCTTCCTACCATTTTCCTCTCCTTTCTTACACGAAGTCATGAGACATGTTCTAACACATACACATACCCTCTTACCATGTTGATGCTTTTCTGCACCTATGGTTACAAATAAAGAATGAAAGAGGTAAATAATATAAGTAAAATGAAAACACTTTGTTCAAATCCTTGACTTAGTACTGGCAGCCTTTTCTAGGCTATTAAGGAAAAAACACAGCATTCCTTTCCCCATGATTAACTTTTCACTTTCTCAACATCTGTTTGTCCAGTTTCTGAGTTTTCGGGTCTTTGATTTTCTACTGCCTCCTGCCTGCTTTTTTGGCTGGCTCACTGCTAATTAACACCTCTCACTACCAGTAGGCAGGAGAAATTGAAGGCCCTGGAATGCCAGTGGTCTTATTGGCTTTGTTTCCATCCCTAATGAGAAGTCCCATGGACCTAAATGGAGTTTGGGGGTGATCTGTAGGGTTTATTATCTGTGATAGTCCTACTTTCCATAATGGATGTTGGATGTATTGTCATTGGGAAAATAGCTAAAATGGAAGACAGCACCAGGTTGGTAGCTAAGGAACTTAGTTCTGGGTCTTAACTAAGCCACTTACCTCATCGTTGGCTGGCCTCTGTTATTTTACCGTCTGTTGACCTGCTCTTGGTGGGATGTACTCCTGGTCCTGACGGCTCTGTGGTCCCCCTAGGTCATGAAACGAGTACGCACCGAGCACATTCAGATGGCAGTGTCCTGCTACCTCAAACGCCGGCAGTACGTGGACTCCGAAGGTCCCCTGAAGCAAGGACTGCGGCTGTCACAGACTGCTGAGGAGATGGCCACCAACCTCACAGGTAACCGTGGGGCTGCTCCCGGGGAAAGCTGGAGCAACAGTCCTCATGCCAAGGCCCAGGTGAAAGAGCTTCTCTCTGGAGGTGGCACACACAGAGCAGACTCCCAGTCCGTGTGCCCCGACACTGGCTGGCGTCAGAACCAGGCACAGGTGCCACTTGTAAAGCCTCCTGTCCTGATAGTGCCCTCCTCACAATGCTAAGTGGCTTGATCTGTACCTGATGGTATGTGCAGCCTTTTCCTCTGCAAACGTCCCTACAGGTCCCCTCTTGCATGTGCCCCGCTCCTGCCCAGAGCCTCGCACGCTAGTGACTGACAGGCTGGGATCGGTGGCTGCAAATATTGCGACATAGATGCGTTCCTGAGATTTTTTTTAAATTTTTGGGTTTTGTTCTTTGTTTTAAAAATGTATTTTTTTTTAAAATGTGTCTTGACTCCATCTAGAATAACAAATAATTGTTACTTGGCTATTTTGTGGGTTCAGGTTTTTATGTAACATAGTTTCCTTATCTTTAATTTGTGTACTGGAGATTTTGAAAAAATTTGACTGCCATGTTTTTGGGGTGATTATGAGCCTCTTCAGTGGGTATGTCTGGGGTCCCCAGCTCAGCCCTGGTTCCTCCTATCTGCTTACACTGGACCCTTCTCTCTGTGTTCCTGTGTGCCCTTCTGCCTTTCTCAGTGTCTCTCACCACCTCCTCCACCCGTCATAGTTTCAGCCCTTCGCACTGGTAGCAGCAGCTACCTCAGCTCCCTCTTTTCTTGTTACCTTCAAAGTTAGGACTCAGGCCTTTATGCTCTAAGGATGTATTGCCATTGCTATAGAAAAGAGTGATGGACAGTAAAAATCTGAGAGTGTCCTCAAAAGAGTGGCTCCCAACCCCTCTGAGACCGTAAAAGAAACTCAATCAGGCATCTGCCTTCTTATCCTTCAGCGTCGAAGCCACCCCAATCTTCCTTCAGAAAATAGTGCCAGGGGAGGAAGTTGGAATAGTGTCACAAATGCCTTATTGTTCCTCATAGGCTAGGCACCCACAGGACCAGGGAAATTCCTTCTAAACTTGCCATCACAGCCTTTAGTGTGTGTTAATAATCTCCCATTGCCCTGTGTTCATTAGGGCCTGGGGACAGTAATTTTGTGCTGTTGTTGACAAAAAACAGGCGTGAGCACTATTGCAGACTTCCACAGCTCCCTCTCTGAGTTCTCTTAGTTTAGCTGGCTTGTTAGGAGAGCCACTGCTGTTCTGGGAAACCAGCAGGAAATGTGAGTGTGCTTAGACTTTGTCTGAGGCCCTCTGTTAGTCCAGTAGCCTGATAATTATGTCTTCGTTCAGCAGACAGTTACTGCACATCTGCTGTAGACCAGGTGCTGGAAAGCTCTAGGTTGCTAAGTTTGATCCTAGCTCCTGAGGAGCTCTGACCTTGAAATAGTGTGAGTGCCAGCAAGACAATGTAGGACAGAATCAACACTGTGATTCAAGAAAATGTTCCAAACTGAAGGACATGGATTTCCAGATTGAAAAGGCCCACTGAATGCCCAGCACAGTGGTAGGAAACAGGCCCACAGCAAGGCACATCTTTGGAAAATGGCAGAATGTGGGGTCAGACACTTCCAGATAAGTCTCTTGTGAATTTACTGCATTTTGCCGTGTATAATACTCTCTTGTGTATAATGTGCACCCATGTTTTTGGCCCAAACTTTCAGGGGAAAAAATCCTTCATTGTAATTTTTTAATTCAAATTTTTATTTGTTTACATTTAGGTACTTTTTTGTATTATAAAGGAGTTTTAGCATTTATTTTTTTTAACATACTGTGGTACAAGAAATTTTATGTAACAAATAATTGCAAAACACAAGAACAGATACAAGGTACAAGAAATTTATGTACCGGTAACAAATTTACGATATTTATGCATCATAGAAGGCCAAGAACTCTTCATTGTTGCCAGTTCATTGTAGGGTCAACAGAACCGATTATCATATTCCAGGGTATTATTTTGCATATGGATATCGTTATTGATTTATAGAGTTACACTTTTAATTCATAAGCATTAATAAAAGAATTAAAAACATTTCTATAGATACAGAATTAGTATTACCAATGTATAATGTGCATCCTTATTTTTCCCTCACAAATTTGGGCAAAAAAGTGCGCATTATGCACAGCAAAATACGGTATGTACCTACCCTCTCTTGTTCAATGATTGTATTCTGTGATTTATACCTTTTCCTTTCTCTGCTGTCATTGTATTGGGTATCAGGAGGGAGAGGAAGTAGATATGTGTCATCAGTCATATTGAACCAGAAGCCCAACACACTGCAAATTTTCTGAAATGTCACTTGCTATTGCTGCGTACTCAAGTCCCTCCATCCTGCCACACACTGGGCTAATCATGCTCCTCCTGTCCCCGTCTGTGTATCTTTTCCTCCTTAGTCCAATCAGAGTCTGGTTGTGCCAACGTAGTGTCCGCAGCCCCTTGCCAGGCAGAGCCCCAGCAATATGAAGTGCAGTTTGGACGACTGCGGAATTTTCTCACTGGTAAGTACTCGGCACAGGGGCTCTTTCTTACTGAGAAAGAGTGGTGCATGTTTTCTCAGGCCCTGCTGTGTCCCAGGGAGAGTGTCAGGGACTAGTTCTTGCTGCCTTACTGTGTGCTGGAACTGAGAGAGCTAAGTTACAAGGTTACTGTTCGCAAGGGCTCAGGCTCTGGGTGTTTCAGTCACTGTTTTACCCATCCTTCATGGTGACTGACTCGTGTTGAAGGAGTAAAAGCTAAATCAGTCATGTAGAGAAATACCCTTAATGCAGCATGTTTGAAATGTACATTGATATTACTACTAATAATATACTACATCTCAAAATGGTCTTTGCCCTTATTTGCAAAAGTGCAAGACAGTAGTCCTCATGAATCAGCAAGGCAAAAAAACTAGAAGTTATCATTTAGACCAGTTTATGGATGGTGAAATAACCAGTGAAACACACACTCAGTTGATATGAGTTCTAATCAGTTCTTCGGACTTACTGTGTGACTTTTTAAATTAATCACTTAAAAAAAATGGAGTCATTTAGCCTCTTTGGGGCCTTTATGTCCTCGTATGTGACATGAAGGCAACTCAAAGGGGAAACCAAAGTGATCTCATCTAGTCCTAAGATGACTGATTATAATTTTAATGTTAGAAAGACGATTGCAGTAAGAAAGACCATGTTGATTCTAGTTATTAATCAGTCTTGTTGAGTATTTTCTTTATATAAAACAACTTGAGGTGTAGGGAATACAAAACTTTCCCTGCCCTCAAAGGACTGAGAGTAATTAACATGTATTGGTTAGTGGTAAACTATAGTTAAAATACTTTGAAGTTGTTTTATTTATTTCCTTATTTGAACAATCCTTGGATTGATAATTTTTAATGGTAAAGATGTATATAGGTATCATTATGTACACCAAAATAATATACCTAGTTTTACACACACTTAAAGCTGTCCTAATTTTACTCGATCCTCATAATGGTTAGTAGTTTAAAGGAAAGAATCCACATTTCCTATATTCTGTGGTTGGGAAAAAATGGCCAAAGTGTTACAGGAAATAAAGGTTACAAAATAAAACCCTACAGAGTGATTATCTTCTCAGTGTCAGAGTTGTTGAGTGATGAAATTCCTAAATAGAAACCAGTCTGCTAAATAGGTACAAAAATGAAAAAAAAATCATTAAAATTAAATGTTTAATAAAAAGAGTCTATTATGTTTAAACTGGAAAGAAAGAAATTCCATTCAGATCCTCATATCATATGAATGTTAAATATCTCAGAACAGTGGTCAGCTGCTTTCTATCTCCGCTAAGGGTAAAAAAGGAAAAGCTGAATTTCTAAGAAGGATTTCACTCAGAGGTAAGCAAGAACTTGGAGATAATGAGTTATTTTTAATAAATTAACATGGTTGACTTTGGTTTCTGAGGCTTTAAGCAGTTTTAAAAATTTTTAAATCAGTTTTTAGGAGTTATTTTACTCAGTTTTTTAAACATTGTTATTATTTCTCCATGATAGATCTCTGTCAGCATTCTGGTGGTGGGGCAGCTGGTCTTTCATTCGTTCAGCCTACATTGATGTCAAGCACTGACGACCTGTCAGACTCGATAATGCAATACAGTATATTGATCACCAGTGTGATTTACCCTGATTCCAAGTTTTCTGATCATATTTATCTCTTTTGGGCTCCTGATGTTTTTCTTAAATATTTGCCGGAGCTCTTAAAGTAGACTAGCTGTCTACTCCTTGTATTTGATGGTGCTGGGGTTTTTTTTCCTAATATGTATTACCTTCTTTATTTTTATCTCTTAGCTTCCTTTGCCTAGAACTTGACACTTCAATAAATTGTAATCTATCAACCTTTTCTTTTGCAAGTTTGTGTCTTGTTTCAAAACTGAATAAGTTGTCTGTTACATTGTCTATAATTCTTTAATCCATTGGTCACAGACTATTTGGAAGGGGTGAATATATGTGTTTTTCCTTACAAACTGCTTTTCCTGGAACATTTTTCTCTATCCTCAGTCTCTGAAGACCAGTCAACCAAATCAATGAACCGTATTTCCTGAGCACCAACATAAAGTATAACATGTAATCATTCATCTAAATTGGGAGCTAATCCTAACATAAGAAGGCTAAAAGTAAAAGTTTTTAAATAAAACTTGAATTTGAATATAGTAGAAGTGTTTTCACACACCCCTGTGGAATCGGTTGCTGAATGCTGTACAAGGAATTGCACTTGGAATGAAAGGGGCGGTGGCTTAGATGGGTATCAGAGAAGGCCTGGCTGCTGCAGGTAGGGCTTAAGTCCACACTCAGAGGGTGGGCTGGGTGTTGGTAAACTGTGGAGAGGGCGTAGGGGGATTCGGAGTACGTGGAAAGACACGAGCAAAAGTGTGAGATGACAGAAATGGCATCTTTGTGCAGGAACAGTGAAGGGACAGGCTTTGTTGAGAATGGGGCTTTGAGATTGGAGATAAAGCCAGATATGCTGGGGCCCAATGGAGGAGAGATGTGATCTCCAGGCCTAGAGGTGTGGCCCTCATCCTGTATGATGGAGACAACCACTGACGTGAAACTAGCCTGAAAGCAGTTTATGAAAGGGTTTGTAAGAGGGGTGAGAAGCAGACCCCGAGAAGTGAAGTGATGAGGACCAGGACTCAATGGTGTGGTAGAGGGGAAGGGCAGGGTGTCCATTCCACAGCTAGACTCCCAGGTTGGACTGTCCAAGGCCAGGAGTCGAGGCGGAGGAGCTGAGCGGGTCCCGGGCTGTGTGCTGGTGGGGGCGAACAGAGGAAGATGTGGTTATGGATGGAACGTGTCTGGCTCATAGGAGGCGCACACTCACTGCAAATGTTTTACAGTGAAATGGGCACTAGGGCAGTGAGAGGGAGAGGAGCCCAAAAGTGGGGGATATGCCAGGTGATGTGGTGGGCATTTCAGAACAAAGGACAGGTTTCGTGATCAGTGGGGTCCAACCCTACAGAGAAGCGGAGGAGAATGAGGCTGACAAGCTGTTTTTGTTTCACTTGGTGTCATTTTCACTATGCATTTCTGCAAAGTCCCTAAAAACTCCAGGTTTCTGTTGTGTATCACCAGCAGAGGGGACTACCAAGTCTGTGTTTGTTCCATATTCTGTGGGTGGGTGGGTGAATGGAAGGAAGGAAAAGTGCACTTTTCAGAGGATATGTTACTTTGTAATTAGAAAAGACAGGTTTTAAGCAAGTCCACTTTCAGTAAAATATAAAATATATGTTATGATTGCAAGGGAACAAGAGTAAAAAGGAGAGTTAAGACATCTGTGAGTTTCACCTTGTTCCATGGAGAGATTGTGTTGACTGAAATTTATTTTATACCTAACATACTGTTCTCTTCAGACAAGAGAGAAAAGTAAGCTGCTTTGAAACTATGAGTTGAAACAACAGTGAATTTCAGTAAGTTTTAAAGCATGCATCCCTATTTCTTGATGGCTAGGTTTTTTCCTAAACTTACTAAATTAAAATGTTTCTCATTTGGAAAATAAGCCTGAAACTAAGATTTTAAGGACTTGAAAACAACCCTTCATCCGCATAGAATATATAGGAAGTCTAATCAGTAAGGATTAAGTCTTTGTTTTTTTAATTAGTATTTTGGCAATGAAATTTTCCAGAGGTCTTCTCAAGAATTACAGTATTTAAAGAAATACAGAAATCAGTATTAATCCACATTCTCCAGAGAAATAGAATGTCGACATAAGAAATGTCCAAACCTGTAGAGAATTATGAGTTTAATTGAGCCAAATTGGCAATGTGCCGGGGAGCAAGATCTCAAATGCTTCCAAGAGTGACAGTTTGCAGCTTCTTTTATGCACTTGGAATTAAGGAGGGGACGTGAGGCAGATGACATGAAGGTGGGAGAGCAAGGCAGGGATTGGTCACAGGACAGTTAACCAATATGCGCTCTCTGGAGAGTTAATACCCCTCCCAGGGGTATTACTTTTGTTACTTCAAAGATGTGTGAACCTAGATACATAACAACAGTGGACAGGGCTTGCTTAAACCTCTCACTAAAGAAGTCATAGTCCTGAGGTGTGACTACCCACCGTGACCTGCCCAGTTAGAAATTATGGTCAGGTCACCCTGTGAGGTTCCTTTCCATAGAACCCCTTTTTTCCATCCATAAGAACCAACAGGATATATAGAGAGAGATTCATTTTAAGGAATTGGTTTATGTGATTGTGGAGACCAGCAGGTCCGAAATCTGCAGGGCTGCAGCTGGAGACCCAGGGAGGGGTTGCAGTTAGAGTTCAAGGGCAATNCAGGTCCGAAATCTGCAGGGCTGCAGCTGGAGACCCAGGGAGGGGTTGCAGTTAGAGTTCAAGGGCAATCTTGGGGCAGAATTCCCTCTTCTTCCTCAGGGGAGGTCAGCCTTTGTTCTCTTGAGGCCTTCAACTGATCAGATGAGGCCCACTCATATCATGGGGTGATCTGCTTTACTGTGGGTGTACTGACTGTTAATCTCATCTACAATAAAAGATATCTTCACGGAAACACCCAGAATGGTGTTTGACAAAATATCTGGGTATTGTGGCCCAGCCAAGTTAACATAAAATGAACCCTCACAGGTACACCCCCTGTCAGTTTGGCACCCGTATTCGCCTCCTTAAACCACACTTAATCTCCACATAAAGACATTAATAAAGTCATAATTCTACCTAACATGTAGCAGCTCTCCTGAGCAAAACCAAAAACACACGAGCCCCTTCCCCTGAAGGGGAAGCGAAGTCTTTGGGTGATGTTTACTCTTCTCCTGATATCCCCTTACCTAAATATCATAATGTAAATTCAGTATAACTTATGGTACATGATAAGGGGATAGGAGAGGGAAGAAAACAAACCACGTACACACACAAACATCACAATAAGGAGGAATACGCATGACGGTCCCAGTCCTCAGGGCTGTAACTGGTCACGTGGCCATAGCTGAGCTTTCACTACTTTCTTCCACTACCCGTTCTGCGTTCCCTTTGCCTTTAGCCAGCACCTCAGCTGGTCCTGGTTATCTGGTGAGCGACCCAAGCCTTCATTTCCAAAGGGCCTGGGCCACTGCTAGTCCTGCCCAGATTGGGCTGCTGCAGTTTCCATTGGCCTTAACCACAGGAGATGGTGACACTAAGTGACGCCCTCCAGGATCTTCTGGACTCCAGACTCTTCCCGCCTCCGCTGTGGGATTAGCAGGGCAGCGTCCTCTCGGTGGTCAGGACCGCCGCCCCAGCCAGCACAGTAACTCCCTTCCTTGCCTGTTGACTCAGACACATCAGGAGCTGAGAGTAGCCGGGCGAGTCTTACCTCCCAGGTCAGTGGAATCATAATTTAAGTTCATCTTCTAAATATGTATTTAAGTAGGGACGCTTTTATTCTAAAATGCGCACATTATACAGTTAATTCACCTGTAGTGAAGGGAAATAGGTTCTACGCAGAGATGGTTTCATCTCAGGGAGGCAAGACTCCTCAATACGCGTTCCAAGAACTTGAGCCATGTGTGGACTTCTCTTTATGAGAAAAATAAATGCTAGCAAGAGTGCAAATGCTGGCCTAAAGCATTTTTTATTTATTCAAATATTTATCAACATTGTACTAGATGGAAATAATATGAAACCTAAACTCATTTACAAATAAAGTACAAGCAAAAACCACAAAAGCGATGAAGTTCAAATGAATAGTGAGTGAGTAATAGAGCAATGGATGGATTTTGCCAGAACCAATCTGCTACCCTTGTGGGCACAGGGATGGCACTGATGGCTGTGGCACAGGCTGGGTGTCAGTCAGCTCTGGGAGGCGCTGTGCCTGCCATGGTCCTGCTCCCACTGCTGGTCTCTGAATGGCCGGGAAGCCTAGGCTCCCTCACAGCTCGCCCTCTGCCCCCCTCACTTATTTATGTGTCACACACACCTCTGTTCCTTTCTCATTATCCCATGATAAAGCTATACACTTTTTTGAACATTTGTTTTCACAGAGTTTCATGGTGTCAAAGTCTCAAACTAGTAAAAGGTTTAGGCTTAATGACATTAAAATGTCTTGTTTGTAACTTAACACTGCAAAGGAAAAGATTTACTCTTTAACCAACAAAATCAAAATGAAAGCACTAACAGATATGGGACAAATATGAATGAATGTTGTCATCTTAGCATTAGGACACGCCAGCCTGGGTAGCCAGACGTGTTAATGACCCTACAAAATAACACTTTGATATTTCTGTAGGTGATGGATGCCAAAAGTCATCACAAAACAAGATAGAGCCCTGAAACTGTGTCAGAATTTACTCACTAAATGGCCACCCAGATAATTCTGAATATATTTGCGTTCATTGTTTTTTAAATTATCATCAAGTTAAGAAGTTTCTGTGAAGAACTCACAGTCTCCTGAAAATATAACTGCAGACCGTCAGTGGTCTGAGGTACCCGATTTGAGAAACACTACTGTATTGGGAAAACACTAAACCTTGAAGACCTGGGTACAAGCTACTGAATTGTGGGGACTTAAGCAAGTCACTTAACCTCTCTGGGCATCAAGTGCCTTCTTTGTGGCCAAGTTCACAACTAAGTTTGCTGGACTTCAGAGTCCATGCTCTTCCTTATTCAGTCAAAAGGCGTGAACTCTGAGTTTCCAGAATTTTTTGTTGGGCTTAGAGTTCAACCCCTGGCCTCGGGGAACAAGGTCCTGAGAAGTGTGATGTGACGGGGCCCCCATGAGGGTCACATTGTCCTTTGAGGTTCTACTGATTGTAAAGCCCTCATGCCTTTCATTTCAGATTCTGACTCCCAGCATAGCCATGAAGTGATGCCCCTCCTGTACCCTCTCTTCGTCTACCTCCATCTCACCCTGGTCCAGAACAGTCCGAAGAGCACGGTGGAGAGTTTCTACAGCCGCTTCCACGGGATGTTTCTGCACAACGCCAGCCAGAAGGATGTCATTGAGCAGCTGCAGACCACTCAAAGCATCCAGGACATCCTGTCCAACTTCAAGCTCCGAGCATTCCTAGATAACAAGTACGTGGTCCGCCTCCAAGAAGACAGCTACAACTACCTTGTCCGCTACCTCCAGAGCGACAACAACTCCGCGCTCTGCAAAGTGCTTACCTTGCATATCCATCTGGATGTGCAGCCTGCCAAAAGGACAGATTACCAGCTCTATGCCAGTGGCAACGCTGCGCGAGGCGAGGGCAGTGGCCTGGAGCCCTCCGACATGCCCGCGCCTGTCCTGCACGACGAGGCCGCCCTGGCCGTCCTGCAGGATAGCATACGGCGCGTCAAGGACGGCCCTCCATCCCTCACCACCATCTGCTTCTACGCCTTCTATAACACCGAGCAGCTGCTGAACACGGCCGAAATCTCCCCGGACAGCAAGCTGCTGGCGGCCGGCTTCGACAACTCCTGTATAAAGTTGTGGAGCCTGCGATCCAAGAAGTTAAAGCCGCAGGCCCATCGTGTCGACGTGGCCCGTGTCCACTTGGCTTGTGATGTTCTGGAAGAGGAGGTATGGGTATCACTTTTTCTTGCCTACATCTGCCTTACTAATTTGCTTAGAATATCCTTACCAAACAGGACAGACCTTGTGGAGAACGGACTCCATTATATCCCACGTGTGGCTAAGGGCAGATTAATGCCATGTGCCCGGTACCATTGAGTTCCTGCTTAGGTCTAGCCTTGGAAAAGATGAACATTACTTTTAACAACAGCAACTCAACATTGTTAATAAATGCTCAGGATTGATTACTGTCTGAAACGTGGATAGCAGTGCTAAGCCTAATTAAAGACCTTTAGCTAACATTGAGATTTGCAGTGAGAGAGAGAGAGAGAGAGAGAGAGAGAGAGAGAGAGAGAGACAGAGAGAGAGAGAGTGTGTGTGTGTGTGTGTGTGTGTACGTACGTGTACACATTTGTGCAAATATAAACAGTTACAAGTAAGATTCCTAGGTCAGAGGGCCTGCACTTTACATTGTGATGACTGTTGTGCCCTTTTCCAGTCTTATCGACAGTAAATGAGAACCCTGCTTTCTGTGTACCCACCGTCACCTGGCGGTGTGAGTCCTCTGGCTTCATGTGCCTCAGGCTGTTCCAAACCCCATTCTGAAAAGTATGGAGAAACTTGACATTTCCTCCATCACTCAGTGTAATGATATTGTTACTTTGATTGGGGACAGTCGTTGAAAAGGAGAGGCCGAGTATTCTCAGCTTCAGGTTATTGAGAATTCACTACCTTAGGAAAAATGTGTGGGAAGGGGAATGGAAGTTGGACTTCTCAGAGTTAACTGTCCTTGGGAGTGGCCCCACAAAAGCTGAGGGCTAGAATAGTTTTGTCATATCACCTCTGAAATGCACTTAGCTGTGCCTCAGCTTACTTTGGATGGAAAATTCTTTGCACAGAGGTGAAACATTAAGGAATGAAAAAAATCACTCAAGTTAATTTCTAGTTGCTGATAGGATATCAAGAATATTGGATGCACAAATTAAGCTCTTTTTTTCCCTGTTCCTGTTTTCCTGGTCACTGTCCAAGGTGTCCTTGTATGTCCTTTAAATTTTTGCTTCTTGCAACTGAGACAATATAATTAGAGGAGTAGAGAGTCTAAATTCCAATGTACAAACTGATTTCTAGAATTTTAATCACCCTCTAGAATATTTTTTGTTGCACATGTATTTGAATTATCAAAATTTTTTTTGGAGACAGTTCTAACCTCTTCGAGGTTCCTCACTCAACTGAGGGACACTGCCCTAATTTACTTTCAATTCTCTGTAAATACAGAAAAAAAATTGTTTCTATTATTTCTAGTGACCCTATTAGCTTTGATGATACTGAGTTTGGGGATTATTTTAGGCATTAAAGTTTAACAAAGGAAGAAAGATACAAAGATGGAAAAAACACTAGACTAAACTTTCAAATGTTAAGATTTTTCCCTGGCTATGACTGAAAACTAGCTCGATGACTTGTTGTGTGAAGGCTCCAGGCGTCAGCAGATGAGTATTTGAAGACCCGGAAGTGAAGAATAACATGATGAATTCCAGGAACTGAAAGAAATTAAGTATGGCTGGAGTTGGGAAGGGTGAGACAGGAAGCAATACGGTTCCCACTGTCTATTCAGGAGACTGTGGTAGCCCAAATGGAGTCGTGCCAATGGACGGATTAGACAAGAGCTCAGTCCCTGGGTTGATGGAGGGCTGAGGGAAGGACGAGTCCAGGAAGACATCTGTGTCTCAGGCTGAGCAGGTGATGGGAGGTGCCACCTACCTCAGAAAGAACAAAGGACATCAGAGCAGTCGCCCTTGGAATCATCTTTCTGCTTATTCATTATTATCTGCATTGAAAGTCCTACAGGAATTTTAGCCTCTCCTTTCCTTAAGAACAAACTGGTTTTTTGTTTGTTTGTTTGTTTATTTTTAACTTTAGAACTAAAGTTGAGATCCTCCTAGTCTGTTTTTGAGGGTTTTTCTGTTTGGAATTTCTACACCCCCACCCGTTTTGTCACAGCAGCTCAGGGAAGTTTTTTGTTTTTTTTTTAATTTCTGACAAAGAGCATTTTGGGGGAAAGCAATGTATAAATTAGTTCTGGTAATGATATTTAATGTTTCTTCCATGAGAATTTGTACTTTCTTTCTTCCTTGTAGAATTCACAATTAAAATCAAGACCCTGAATGCAAAGGTCACAAACCCACATGCTTGTAAAAGCCAAACAGGTTAAAGTAAATTGGACCAAAGAGGTGATAAGAAGTAAGAAAGCACCACCAAACCAAATTAAAAAGCCAGTTTGCAATCTAGGCTTTAATCTCTGTGAAGCAGTAACTGTTGCATAAATTAGTGGCTAAAATACTTTAACCCCAAGCACTTAAAACACTGATCAGACCCAGCAATCCCATTTCTATCTGTGTAACCCAGAGAACTGAAAACGTATGTTTACACAAAAACTTGTACACAAATGTTCATAGAAGCATATTCATAAGCGCCCCAAATGGAAACAGCCCAAATGTCCATCAGCCAATTTATGGATAAACAAACTGTGGTCTGTCCATAGATTGGAATATTATTCAGCCATAATAAGGAGTGAAGATACATAGGTGATAATGCTATAATATGGGTGAACCTTTTAAACATTATGCTGGTAAAAGAAGCCAGTAACAAAGGACCGACTATTGTATTTTATAGGAAATTTCCAGAACAGACATATCCAAAGAGACAGAAAGTAAATCAGTTCTTGCCAAGGGCTGGGGCCAGGGGTTTGGGGAGTGACTGCTCATGGGCGCAGGGTTTCTTTTTCAGGTGATGAAATGCTCTGCACCTGGATGGTGGTGATGGTGGCACAACTCTGTGAATTTACTAAAAACCATCGAATTGTATACTTTAAAAGAGTGAATTTGATAGTATGTGAATTATATCAGTTTTTTAAAAACCAAATACAGTAACCAAAAGGTCACATGTAAGCATATTATTTTCTCTGTTAAGTGTGCCAACAAATAAAACTGGATTTACAGCACTGGCCCATAGCTTCTGTTATCTCCATCTTGAAGGTAATCTAAATTAAGCTTTGAAATCTGTTAGCTGGCATCACAAGACCCCTGTCCTCACCCTCGTAACAGTTGCCCCTTCTTCAGACACTCCAAGTGGAGAGCAGGACCTGCTCTCTGCACGCTTTATTCCACACGAAATGGAGATGGAAATGAGATCCAGCTTTTACCCTTGTCGACTGGCAGCTACGTGTTTTTAATTTGTGAGCAACTTGGCGAAACCACAGGTAGCAAATCAGGGGTTTGCTCTTTTCGTTATGTGTGCACGACCCGCCTCATCACCACCAGCCTCCCACCCGCTTAGCCCAACTACAACACCTGGGTTCACTTCCGTTAATGTCTCATGATTTTCCCCCCAATCTGGCAGTCTTTCCATTTGAAAAGTAAATAAGTCAGTTTTGTCATTAATACTCAGTTCTGTAATTTTTATATAAAATGTCATTTAGGTCTGTGTGCCAATAGGACTATAATGTGAGCCATATGTGATTTAAATTTTTCTAATGGCCACATTAAAAATGTAAATAGTCAAGATTAATGTTAATAATGTATATTATACTGTCCAGTATGGCAAAAATATTTAACATGTAAGCAATCTAAAAAATTATTGAGACCCATTCCATTCTCCTTCTTTGCCCTAAGTCTTGCAAATCCAGTGGGAATTTTACACTTAGAGCACATATCCATTCACGCTAGCCACAGCCATGGGCGTTTCTGTTCTAGGTCAGGCTACCATCATCTCACGCTGATGGCGGCACCTGGCTTATAAGTCTGAACCCACTCCCAAAGCTGGCCACATTTTATTTATTTCTGTCCCACTGGCAACTAATTACACAAGTGCACGATGGTAGATCCCAGGCCCCTGATCTGGGGAAGACAGGCATGTGGGCTGAGGCCCTGGGATGTCCCTGTCTAGGGGCAGACATCCAGAACCAGCCTGATATTTTTAGGGACTCCGTGGTCTAAAGCAGGAGTCTGCAAACTACAGCCCAGGCGTGTGTCAGACAATATTTGAAGATCTGTTAATACTTCTTATTCTTTTTCAATTTCTATTTTATGCAAGCTTTATAATGTACATAATACAGTTTATCATTACACAAATATACATATAACAACTCCTGTTTGGGATGCATGCCCATATACTATGGGGGTTCAGGCATTGTAGCGAGTTTAGGACTTTTGTCCCCATGCCATGAGAGGAAAGAGGGACCTGTGGGGCTGGACATGTGTGAACTGGCTGCTTGTGCCAGGCTCTCACCTCTACTTTGCAAGGCCCTTGTGGGACTGAGTGGAGCCACAGAAGAAGACGTGTTGGGGCATTTTCAGCTGTTTCTGGCAAAGGGCTGGTAGAAATATCCAGCAGGAACATCTGGTTCCCCATTTCTCAGTCTATAGAGTCAGCCAGGAGCCTTTCCACAAGCTCGGGACAACTGTCAAGATGCTGGGCAAGTGCCAGCTTGACGCCTGGTGCACTCTCCTCTTCCACCGTGAGCACGCTAGTCAGGTCCCCACTCAGGCAGACCCGTCCCGTTAACTCCCTGCTCCACGTGAAGATCACTCAGGCCTCAGGAACGTGCCCTCTGACCCACCGCTACCTTTCAAAGGATCTTTGTGGAATCCACTGGGGTCCTTTTTTGCTCCCACATTTCTCATATCAACTTTCTGGTGTAGAACAATGAGTCACTCTTGAAATTTTAAAGTGTTGTAACCTCTTTGGAAAGGAAAATTGCTAATATTCTTGGTAACACTCAGTAGAATCTTAAGCTCCTAAATGCTTATGGATTTTTAATGTTGAGTGTCTGAAATAGCCATATTTGAATAATCATGGACATTCCTGTTTATTTTCCCTTAATTTTCAAATACATACACATTGGAAGTGTTTGATTTATTTTGAATGTAATGGTTTTCAAATAGAAGTTAAAAGGATGCCCTTTTCCTATACGAGAACCTAAGGCTCTTATTTCTATGCTAACAAAGCTGAATGATTTAAGAGACTTCGTCTTACTCTTCCTTCTTCTAGTGTTTCATTAAAACCATTTTAATTTATGAATGCCAAGATTGAGGCAGCTGGGGTTTTAAGGAGGGTTTTGAACACAGATAGTGTCCCGGTGAGGAAGGGGACTTTCTCGCCCAGTACTGTGAGTGGCTGTCTTCTCTTGTGTCCCCACATGCAGGAATTATTTCCAAGAATCGCATGAGTCACTTGGCTTGCCTTGTTTTGTTGCATTAGGAAAATGTTTGAGACCTTCCAAAATGTCACAGTTTTAAAACTTCATCTTCATTTCTATTTGGACACCCAGAGTTTATTCCTGGTCATGGGGCGTGAGTGTAATTTATTGCTAAACTGCACCTTCCTGCTCACTCATAACTCTGATACGTCCAGGTTTTATTTCAGCTAAACTACAGTGGTTCCATGTTCTGAGCTGTGACCACGTTTGCCTTCATCATTGACCCCAGTCATGGGAATATTGAATGTGTCAGGATTTTTTAGTGGGCTGAAAATGGGGAGCAAGGTGGTTTATGAAGCAGCTAAACCTGACATACCCATAGAATGAAAGAATCTAAGAACTGAACATAAATCTTTTCGAATGGCAGACATCAGAATTAACACTGAAAGTTACCATAAGCTACCTTTTAATCAGCTCTTGAAATCTGTTATCCTCGGCCTAAGAGTAAGACCCCTAGTCATTACTCCATAATAATAGCCTTGCATTTCCAGATCTTTGATTTGATATAGTCTTGGCTGCAAGATGAACTTAAGGAAAGCAGTTTGTAAGTTGTAGGAGACGTTTTTTGTTCAGTTATGCATTTACCAGCTGTTTGCCTGGGGTCACCCTTAAGGGCAAGACGACTTGTTTCCTAGGTAGATGCTATTTCCCAAGCAGTGCCTTTTTTCCCTGGAGTTTTTGTTTCCCATGGCAGACCACTTAATGTTTCTTTCTTGTGTGTCTCCTTTGCCACCATCACCGGATGTCCCAGGATGATGAGGATGACACTGCGGGCACAGAGATGAAGATTCTGCGAGGACACTGTGGACCAGTATATAGCACGCGGTTCCTCGCAGACAGCTCAGGGCTGCTGTCTTGTTCTGAAGACATGTCCATTAGGTACTGGGACCTGGGGAGTTTTACCAACACTGTGTTGTACCAGGGACACGCGTACCCTGTGTGGGACCTAGACATTAGCCCGTACAGCCTGTACTTCGCCAGCGGGTCCCATGACCGCACAGCGAGGCTGTGGTCATTTGATCGGACGTACCCGCTGAGAATATATGCAGGACACCTGGCGGACGTGGACTGTGTCAAGTTCCACCCCAACTCTAACTACTTGGCCACGGGCTCCGCCGACAAGACGGTCCGGCTGTGGAGCGCCCAGCAGGGCGGATCGGTGAGGCTCTTCACGGGCCACCGCGGCCCCGTGCTGTCCCTCGCCTTCTCTCCCAACGGCAAGTACTTGGCGTCAGCGGGCGAGGACCAGCGCCTGAAGCTGTGGGACCTGGCATCTGGGACCCTTTACAAGGAGCTCAGAGGCCACACGGACAACATCACCAGCCTCACGTTCAGTCCGGACAGCAGCCTGATCGCCTCGGCCTCCATGGACAACTCGGTGCGCGTGTGGGACGTCCGGAACGCGCACGGTGGCACGCCCGCCGACGGCTCCTCGGGCGAGCTGGTGGGTGTGTACAGCGGCCCGGTGAGCAGCGTGCTGAGCGTGCGCTTCATGGCCTGCAACCTTCTGCTGGTGACCGGAATCTCACAGGAGAGCCCGGAACATTGACCCGTTACCTTGCTGTGGCAGACTGGGGCGGTGGTGGCCTCCAGGTGACTAGTCTTGTGACAAACTAAGATGGAATCACTAACTGACTGTGAAAGACTGCCCGCTTCCCCTCCCCTGCGCAGGCGTCCTGAGCACTGCGCCCCTTCACTCGGCTCCCCATGTCGCAGGACTGGGGGTGGGGACACGGGTGGTGACCAGCGGACATGAGATCGAGAACTGAGACGCTTGGTAGGTCAGATTGCAAGTTCCCACAGAGGTCGCTCCGTGTCCCCATGCTAGCGCCCTCCCATCCGACACGTTCCTGTTTGTCAAACCAACAGGAGCTGCTGACGCGCGGGTGCTGCGCCACTCCAAGGGTGGCCTGGGCGCCAAGCGCCGCCTGGAGGAGCAGGGCCGCAGGGTCGCCTGTCATTAGTCACCAGGGGGAAGGGGATCTTGACTGGTGTAGGAATGCAGGGCTGGGGACTGGGAAAGGGGGCAGGGGTTGTCTGGGCAAAAAGACTTTCCATAATTACAGAGAACAGAATTTTTTATTATTGTTATTGTAATTATAATATTATTATTATTATTGAGAGGGGAACCGCAGCACTGGCAGAGGGCCTTCTCTGCACTCACCCTTCAGGTTTTACCCCTGGCACTGGCCGTGACACTTGGAATTTTGAGGTTCAGGGAATTCAGAGAATTTGGTAGCACAGTGTTTGGGGAGAAAGGGAAACTTTCTGGGTAACAGATCAGCTACTCCTGCTGATGTGTTTCTAGAAGTGGGGGGCATTTGATTGAGAAAATCTTGGGCTCTTGCAGTGATGGTGGGAAAGAAAGGTCCTTTTCACGGCTGCACTTCTATTAGCAATTCTCTCCCCTGAAAGGACAGATTATGGTAAAGAAATGAAAATAATTTGAAGCAAAAAGTCAAAAGATAGAGTTATTAAGTGTTGAATTTCCAAATGAGCATTGACTCAGAGGTGTGGCTTTTTCAATGTCTTTTCCTCCTTCCGACCACCCACTCCCACCGCCTGCATTGCAATAGCAGTTTAATAGAAAACACTTTGTGAAACAAATTGTAAGTGTGTATGCACGCATATAAAACTATGTTTTGAGGATAAAGCAAGTTCTAATTTGTGGAAAAAGGATTAAATATTTCTGTTTTCTGAAAAGAGTTATTTTGTATTTTGTTTTCTATTAAAATGTATTTAGTTTCCAAAAACAGTGTTGGCATCTCATTTAAACTGTGAGGACAGGTGGGCATGTAGTCTGCCTTGTGGTGACATGCAGCTCACTTTTCTTCGGGATAATAGCCAGTTACGTAGGCCAGACCAGCCCCAGAGGTGGGGTGTTCCTATCGCTCTTATATTCTGTTCAGCTTACTTTGAATCATGCTTCCTCTTGGCACTTGCGTGGATTACTGATAGCATTCGGTACTGTTTCTACATCCAAGATTGCCGATTGCTGACCGGGGACAACATATATTTTGCCATCTAGAGTTATTTGGTAAGATCCTACTTCAGATCCTACTTTTTTTTTTTTTAAAGATTTTTATTGGGGAATTGGGGTGATGGGAACAGCGCTGGGGAATTGGGGGAAGGGGAACAGACAAGTTGCTGTTGTTTTGTTCTTCAGTCTAGTTGTGGAGGACGTTGCTTCACTGGCCCAAGTTGGCACCATCATTGCGCTCTTCCCGGGCGAGGCAGATCAGTCGCCGGCTTCTGGACGGCCACTCACGCTGGCTGCTGGCTACACACGGTAGCCCATGGCAACCCACTGCCAGAGGGGCTGCAGCGGCAGCCCAGCTTCAGGTTGAGCTGTTGTTCAGCATCTTAGCTGTAGAGGGCAGTGTCACTGGCCCTCATATGTGGGATCCGAACCGGGGCCCTCTGGCTACCCAAGCCAGCTCTCAACCATCGCGCCACTCGGCCAGCTCCAGATCCTACTTTTTAAAGACCCCATTATAAAATCTCGAAGGGGCATAAGAACTGTGTTATGTAATTAACTCACACTGTTTATTGAACAATTCCAGATAAAGGACTCATTCAAAGACTTAAATGATGCCAGAATTTTTTAAATTACTTTGATACATGATTTCCTGGTAAGGACACCAGAATTATCAGGAAATTAAATAGGAAGACTCTAGAATTCTATGCCAAAATCTTTTTTTTTTACTTGAGCCTAAGGTGCTAAATAATAGGAAATGTTTCTCATTCATTAAAATCTACACATTTGAGACATTGTAAGAAGGATCCTTTGGCAACTTAGCCAGATGGCATCACCTTCCAGATGGTCTGCGGGTAAAGCCTAGAATCTAAATGTGTTCTTACTGTAATAAGCGAATTCTTAAGTTAGATGGTATGATATACTGCCAGAAATAATGAGATCCATAAATTGGATTCAATCATTCTCAGAAATGAAAATATCACTGATTTGGGATGATTTGGAAGGTTTTGTATTTGTTTTATAATGCAGAATTTTTTTTATTAAACACAGAAATGTACTGGGTTGGTCAGTCTTCACATTACCGATTGTGTATCTGTGATTTCAGTTCAAGGTCTTAATGGTCTGCGTATTTGGCCTTTTTTTCTTTTGTGAACTAATTTTAATGTGGGGTAATTGAACTTTGTAGAATCGCCTCACAGTATCCCCCAAATCTTACAAATGCAGCATGTGTGCGTCCACAAGGTGCACAAAAAAACACAGTCACCCTTTTCAGGCTACTCTCCACCTTGTTTCATTTTATCTTCAGGATACCCCGTGATGTGGACAGGATAGGGGTGTTGCCATTTTGTATTGACGTACCGAAAGCCCATAAAAGCTGTATTATGTATCCACACCCAACAAGGAATAAAGAAACTTCAGAACACTCAGTTGTTTGAACCCCAGTGATAGGTCTCTGCAGTGTGTATAAGGTGGGGCAAAAACAGCTGAAATTTCTGAGACTAACAGGCTCAGAAGATCTGACTAATTTTAATTCGGTGGTTGACTGGACAAAAAAGAGAAAGTTAGGATAAAGGAAAATAATGAATCGAGACAAAGCAGTTTAAAGTTTTTATATTCAAGATCCAGCTTCTAAGGATATGATTAATGGCTTTTCGTTTGTTTTATTCATGTATTAAAAATGCCTTGGTTGTATAAACAAAGAGTTGAGTATAGGCTTCTAATTTTGCTACTGCCCAGATTGGTATTTAAGTATATGGATTAAAAACTTAGTCTGTACTTCAACTTGTCTTTCAGTTGCATGTTTTAGAAAAGTGTCCATTAAATCTATACCCAGCTCACACCAAAAATTCGTATTATTGACACCTACATAGCAGCCAAATGACTCTGAAACTACTTTGTGGTAAACAGAAAATCTTCATTCAAGAATTTAAGGAATGCAAATGTTCCATGTTAAGTTGACCATTAAAGCCCAAATTTGATACTTTCCTATGATTGACTGAAATTCCTAAAGTATTCTTATATTAAATAATGTGAGTCTATTATGACGATGTTGTGTTAGTGGGTGGAGATACCATGGTAAGCAAAGCTGATAGGGGCACTGGATTCAGATTGTAGTTTAGAGAGGGAGACAGACATTAATCAGACAATTCCGTGAATATGGAATTCCAAACGAGAGAACGCTGTACTGGGCGCTGTGGAAGAACATACCCAAGGGTCCAACTTAGATCAGGCATTCAAAGGCCTCCCTGAAGAAGCAATAATTAAGCGGAGACCTGGAGGGTAAGCAGGAGTTAGCCAGGCAGAGGTCAGGAAAGAACGGTCCAGACCCCCAAGTGAGAAAAACCCTGTACACTCAGGGCGTGCGGTGGGCAAGCAGCGTGAGGAATGGAACAGCATGGGTTTGAGTAACTGCAGAGCTCTGGCACTGTCTGGAGTTTGGGTTTTATCCCAGAGGGATAGAAGCCATTGAAGGGTGTAGAACAGAAGCCACATGGTTCAATTTCTACCTTCAAATCACCCGCAACAGGAGGACATAGACTTATTTACAACTGGAATTCCACTTCAACGTTGGGTCACTGAACCCAGTCTGCCAAGCACTGCCAGACAAGCTGAATGAGATGCACTGCCATGTGGTGAGCTGCCCTGTGGAGTGGCCCCTGGGTCAGTGAGCTGGAAATGGCCTCCAGCCAACAGCCCATTGGCAGCCAACAGCCAAACAAATGAGCCTGGGTGTAGGTCCTGCCCTGGTCAGGCATTCAGGTAAGACTGCAGCTCTGGCTGACTGATTGTGGTCTCCTGGTCGACCTGCAGACAGAGGCATCAGCAAAGTCTGCCTGATTCCCAGCTCACAACTGAGATACCAGCTATTGTTTTAAGCCATTAAAATTTGGGGAGATTCGGTGCCTAGCAATAGATAATTAGCCCATGTGCTCCACTGCATAGTCCCTTCTTTTAACTGCTACACTATAGAAACTGAAATAATTACTAATTAAAAAAAACCAAAAAACTCAGTGGCAGCTGTAAGGAACATGAATTAAGTGTGTGCGAGGGAGTAAGGAGACCAGTCAATACCACAGCAGTCATCCAGGGGAGAGATGAGGGTGACATGGACGAGACGGGCCACAGTGGAAATGGAGAGAAGTGGACCAGTCTGAGGACTGTGGAGGCGGATTTGGCTGGATGGGGAAGAGAGAGGACAGGAATCATGGATGACCTACATGATTCTGGCATGACCGATTTGGTGGGTAGGTTGCCATTTATTGTGATGAAAATAATAGAGGAATAGTAGGTTTGGGGGGAAAGATCAAGAGTTCAGTCTTGCACCTCTTAAGTTTAAGGTGCTTATGAAAGAGTCAAGTGAAAATGCCCATTGGGTGCCTGGAGCTCAGGCTGACTAGGCTGACATGCTGATTTGGGACAGAAATCTGACTTATTTTTAAAATAAGGGATTTTATTGGTTCACATAACAAAGTCTAGGGGTCAGGTGGGTTTCATGTGACTCACTAGGACCCACCCCCTGCTCTGTTTTGTGGCTCACCCTGCTCCCTTGTGTGGTTGGCCTTTCCCATGGTTGTGAGGAGGCTACTGACAGCACACCCCTGATTCATGCCTAGTGGGAATGTGAGCTCACTTTCCCTTCCTCACTCTTAAGAGCAAGGGGAAACATCTCGAAGCCCCATCGAACCTCTCCAGTTTGGATTAGGCCTGCTAATCACTGCATCTGTCCTAATAGATGTGCTTACCAAGGAAAAACACAGGGTGACAGGAGATGTGACTTCAAGACTACGTTGAAGTTCTCTAACATTTACAAACCAGAAAGGAGGAGCAGCCAACAGGAGAGGGCACTGTCCCAGGAGCCAGGAGGAGGAAGTACTTCAGAACATGAGTGGTCAGCTATGCTGCTGTACCGAGCATTCGAGTAGGACAAGGAGGAGTGAATATCCGTTCGATTTAGTGGGAGGTGGCCAACACGCTTAGCTCTAGCAGGTATGTTTGAGAAATGGAAATAGAAAATGCCTGAAGTGGGTTGAAAAGTAGAAAGATAATAGAAACACAAAGCTGAACACTTCTTTTCTGACAGGTGACACATACAGCAATGAAAAAAGGACAGACTTTTTACTACAGTGCTAAGACAACTGACTATCCAGAAGAAAAAAGTGAAATTGGACCCCTACCTCATTATACACAAATATTAATTTTTAGGTAAATTAAAGACCTAAATGTTAAAGACAGATCTACATATAAACCATTTAAAGAACTATCCTTATGACCTTGGGATAGGAAGAAATTTCTGAAACAAAAAGCCCTAACCAAAAAGGAAAAGATTGATAAAATTCAAAAACATCCATTCAGTAACATAGGCTATGAATGTGAGAAGACACTTGTAACACATGTGTGACAGATAGCCGTGCTGTGGAACTGTCTCATCCTATGGGCAGTGCTGTGAGGACGTGCGTGCTCAGCAGTTCTCTGCTGTCCAGTAAGATGGCCACCAGCCACATGTTGCTACTAAGCCTTTCAAATGTGAACAGTAATGGAGGAACTGAATGTCATTTTATTTGTTTGTTTAATGAGACTAATTTTTTTTTTTTTAGTTTTAGGTGTGCAAAAGAACATAATGATTAGACATTTATACCACTCACAAAGTGATAACTATCCCCTACCAAGTCTGCTACCCCTCTGACATCATACATAGCTATTACAATACCATTGACTATATTCCCTATGCTGTATTTTACATCCCCATGAACACACACACACACACACACACACACACACACACACACACACACGAGGTCTGACAACTAAATTTGCGAAATCATCCTAGAAAAAGTACTACACACCTCATTGCTGAATATCACTACGGTCACCTTCAAAGTACTCCCCTTGGGAAGCTATGCACCGATGCCAGCGTCTAGTCTCCCCTTCAAAGCAATTTGGAAACTTTTTCTGGAACAGTCCTCAGAGCTATTGTCATATTACCCATGATGTCCTGAATGTCATCAAAATGTCTTCCTTTCAATATATCCTTTATCTTCAGGTAAAGAAAGAAGTCATTGGGGGCCAGATCAGATGAGTAGAGAGGGTGTTCCAATACAGTTATTTGTTTACTGGCTAAAAACTCCCTCACAGACAGTGCCGTGTCAGCTGGTGCATTGTCATGATGCAAGAGCCATGAATTGTTGGCAAAAAGTTCAGGTCATTTTCTTTTACCTTGTTCACACAGCCTTTTCAGCACTTCTAAATAGGAAACTTGGTTAACTATCCAGTTGGTACAAATTCATAATGAATAATTCCTCTGATATCAAAAAAGGTTAACAACATCAATTTGACTTTTGATTTGGACTGACAGAACTTTTTTGGTCGTGGAGAATTGGCTGACTTCCATTGTGCACTTTGACACTTTGTTTCAGGGTCATATTTGTACACCCATGTTTCATCACCAGTGATAACATGGCCTAAAACATCGTCTTGCCTCTCCAAAAGGTCTTGGCAAACTTCAACTCTCCTTTGCTTTTGTTCATCGGTGAGCCCTTTTGGGACCATTTTTGAACACACCTTTCTCATGCCATGATTTTCAGTGAAGATTTTCCTACCTATTTCTCTATCAATGTTTACTTGGTCGGCTATGTTTCTCACAGTCAACTGACGATTTTGACACACAATTCGACGAATATTTGCAATGTTTTTGTCAGTTCTGCTTGTTACTGGCCGCCCTGACCTCTCTTCATCAGTGACACATTCTCTCCCCTCAGAAAAATGTTTAATCCATTTGTGCACTGCCATTTTCTTCATGGCATTCTCCCCATAAACTTGGACTAACATTTCCCTGATTTCAGTTCCACTCTTGCCAAGTTTCACAAGAAATTTAATGTTTGTTCGTTGCTCTAATTCAAGCTCAGACATTCTCGCGACAGCACACAAATACATGCAACACCAATAATGAATGCCACTCAGCGAGACACCGCCACACGTCAACACAAACACAGCTGTGAGACACTGACATATCAAGGTTATGAAACCTTCCCAAGCTGTTGTTTGTCCAGTGCTGCCAATGTAAGCACATGGTGCAAGTGCACAAACGTAATTGTCAGACCTCATATATATCTTAAATTCCTAGAAATGACACACCTATTAGAATGGCTAAAATCCTGAGCACTGACACTACCACATGCTGGTGATGATGTAGAACAACAGGAACTCTCATTCATCGCTGGTGGGAAGCAGTTTGCAGTTCTTCCAACACTGAATATATTCTTACCATGCAATCCAGCAGTCATGTTCCTTGGTATTTACACAAAGGAGTAGAAAATGTATCTACACAAAAATCTGCACATGGATGTTTACAGCACCTCTATTCATAATCGCCAGAACTTCAGAGCAACCAAGATGCCCTCCAGTAGGTGATGGATAAATAAACTGTGGTCCATCCAGACAGTGGAATATTATTCATCGCTAAAAAGAAATGAGCTATCAAGCCATAAAGATGTGGAGGAACCTTAAATGCATGTTACTAAATGAAAGAAGCCAATATGAGAAGGCTGCACACTGTGTGATTCCACCTGTATGACATTCTGGAAAAGGAAAAAACAGAGACAGGAATAAAGGCAGTGGTTGTAGGACTGGGGGTGGAGGTGGGGGGTGAGCACAAGGCATTTTTAGGGCAGTGAAACTATTGTCTATGACACTGCAATGATGGTGTCATTATACGTTTGTGAAAACCCATGGAGTGTACACCACCAAGAATGATTCTAAGATAATCTACGGGCTTTGAATAATGACATGTCAATACAGGTTTGTTGACTGTGAGAAATGTCCCATCTGGTGGGGATGTTGACAGTGGGAGAGGCTGTGCCTGTGCTGGGCAGGGGCAATCTGTTGGGAAATCTGTTACCTTCCTCTCAATTTTGTGAACCCAAAACTGCTCTAAAAAGTAAAGTTTATTTTTTTTAAATGCTAGAAGTAATACTGCAGGATCAAGGAATACATATATGCATTTACAGCTTTAGTACATGTAACAAGTGCTTTCCATAATGACTGCAGCAATTTCCATTCCTGTCAGCATCGCCTGGTCCACCTCATCCTCATTGATGATGCCATGGCGTCGAACTTTCTGATCTTCCATAAACTGAAAACGGAAAAAGGTGCTACCTGTTATTTTAATTTCCATGTCTCCTATTATAAATTAGACCTCTCTTTCTCTCTCTCTCTCTCTCTCTCTCTCTCTCTCTCTCT